AGAGGAAGCCCGAGGGTTGGGTGAGTTGATATGATGTTATTGAAGACTCATTAATAATTGTTTGTTCAGAGCTCCTCATCGCTATAGTGACTTTAGCACTGTGTCACAATGTGACACCAGTAGAGACCGCCGGTTCGGACGACTGGACGCTGCAGGCTCCTAGTCTGATGAGGCAGCGCTCGTGAAGTACGCCCGAGAGTGTGGGATCAAGCTGATAAGGAGAGACGATGATTGTATAGTGAGCATGTTTAGCCAAATGACGGGTTTCGTACCACTCGTTGCAGATATTAGAATGCTTGAACATCACTGGAAGACCCCAGCTACGCTACGATATAGTCGAATGTCTCCCGTTCTCATCAGACAGGAAACGTATGGGTATCCTTGTCAAGGAGGAAGTAGGTGTTGCAGCGTTGACACCGTATGTGTTTTCCGACCCCAGCACTCGCCCTAGGCTATCCTTGGTCGAAAATTGGAATAGGCGTAAATGCAAATGCTACTGTGGTGTCAGATATCGGGTCAATATGTGTACCTTATGAAAGGCGCTGATTCAGTGATGATACCTAGAGTAGCGGAGTATGACAAGAAGAATGCCTATATGGAGGAAGTTGTGGACGACTATGCGTGTCATGGTAAGACATAACTTTGGTTGTCTCAGCGAGAGCATCGATTGCTGTAGGATTGCGGACGTTGGTGGTTGCGATGAAGAAGATGACAAGGGAAGGCTGTGAGGAATTCGAAGCGGCATACAAGGATGCTACGTTGGATGTGAGCGAACAGAGAGAGGAAAAGCTAGCTGAGATAGTGGACCGTTATTTGGAGACGAACCTGGAGCTGGTAACTCGTAACGTCGGATGGTTGGTGTGATGGAATCTGTGGAAGGTCTGCTTGACGGGCGTTGAAGATATGCTGCAAGACGATGTGGCGCCGGTGATCGAAAGCTTGCGTGTGGCGAAGATCAAAGTACGTCGGAGAAGGGTTCGTACTAGTGATGGTGGTCATTGATACCTTAGGTATGGATGCTGACGGGTGATAAGATAGACACTGCAATATGTATCGCGATCTCTACCGCACTAAAGTCCCCTGAGCAATCGCTTTTGAGGCTGGAGGCGAGCCATGTGAGACAGATGTTCGCATCAATAGTGGATGTTCATTATTGTTATAAGGTACACAGCGCCATCGATGCACTGGCGGATCTTCGAGAGGCTCGCAATGCTAAGATGGAGGGCCTCAGTGATACGGTGGTCGTCATTGACGGCACAGTGAGTGGCAGTACTATTAAGAGTGACATGGCGCTATCGTTGTCGTAGGTGCTGGCAATGGTGCTATCAACAGGACTTTATACATCTGAATTTGTCGAGTTGATAAAGGATGCTCCTGCTGTGGTATGTTGCCGTTGTAGCCCATCACAGAAGTCAGAGGTGGTCCGTGCTATCAAGAAGTATGCTCCTCTAATCCCGCTCTATCCCAGCCATCTGGCTCGGTCATTATCAGTATGATAACGGCCAACGAACTCTCGCTATCGGCGATGGA